GAGAAGAGACTGTTGCTCTGGCTGTTCCATTTCTGTTCACTCCCCAGATGACTGCAATGGCCAGGGCAGGACCAGGCTGTCAAGAGCCTGGAACCCTGTCCAGGTCTCCTATACGTCTGGGAAGGTAGCAGAAGATGGCCCAAGTGCTTGGGCCCCAGCCACCCATATGGGAGACCTGGACAGGGTTCCAGGCTCTTCCCCTCTGTTACTATGCCTTTCAAATAAATACAAAGTAAACATTTAAAAAAAAAAAAAGTAAACGCTGAGAGAGGCTGGAACATGCAGCAAACACATAGCGCTTCTCTTGTGACTGGAACTGAGAGTCAGAAAATGAAAGAAGACAGGGAAAGTTCTAAACAGTGAAGAATCAGGAAATTCGTACTGTAGAAAAATGTCACTGACTACTGTGTGGGAAATAAACTGAAAGGGCAGAGGAAAAGTCAAGAAAACCTGGAACCAGAGCTACCAATTAGGGAGTACTTACAACAATCAATGTGAGAGAAAGTAAGTACAGATTTCATAAAAATAAAAGACAAATTTAGGACACATATAAGAAGCAAAAGGCACAAAATTTGATAATGAACTCCATGTGAGGTTAAGGAGAAACTGGGCTTCCCTGGAGATAAGGGGCAGGCTTCCGGTCTAAGTCGCAGAGTGGATATACTCATCGAAAGGACAAAACAGGCAAGGAAGGTGTTGGGTGAAAACGCTGGATTCAGCTGTGACATGACGGGGTAGGAAAGTCAAAGGAGATGCTTCCCACATATTAGCTGGTGTGAGCACTTGCAGCTCAGGGAAGATTCTGGGGAGGAATTCTGAGTTAATCGGTGTGTTGACTGCACGTGAGCATGAATATGACTTCCAAGGAAATGCAGTGGAATGGAAGGAAGAGAAGGGGTAAACTGAGAAGAATCTGGAAAAGCAATGTCGGAGACGCAGAGGAAACCCAGGAGAGGAGGTGCCACACAGAGAAATAGCAGGCAAGTCTCTACCGTGCCTGCTGCCGAAAGGGATGAACTAACATATGGACTGAAGCAAAATGTTCACTGAATACAACATTAAGTCAATTTGGCAAAACTAATTTAAGTAAAGTGTAGAATAGCAACCCCATTTCAGTGTGTTGGGAAGTAAATGAGGCAGAGGGGATTAACAGACCAAGTGTAGGAAACTTAAAGAGCTTATCTTTTTAAGGGGAAAATATAACTCAGTAACTACAGGAGTATTTGAAATCATGAGGCTTTTCTTTTAATGATTGCATATTTGAAAATGAAATCTTTTTAATGAAATCAACATTTAATTCAAGGAAATGAATTAAAAGTTTTCCAAAATTAAAATTGTTTTAATGCTTCATGTTGCCTGTAGGTGCCGACAACGTGGGCAAAGTACAGCACAATGTCAAGGTAAAGGAGTTTCAGGAAAAATAGAGAGAGAAGAAAATAGGGAGCTAGAGAAGCAAAGGGGAATAGAAGCAAAGAGAATAGAAAAGAACACAAAGAACAGAATCCTAGAGGTCATCCCAACCCATGGAGTACTGAGGAAATTAAATCAACAGAGGTAACTGCACAGGGAGGTGACCAGACATATGAACCAGGAGGCAGAGTATTCCAGAATCTCCTTCTAAGGAAGATTTCCACGAGAAGGTGGTCAGCACTGTCTCATGCCGCCAAGTGCAAGTCCCAGTGGACTCTCGAGATTTTCCTGGGTAAAAGCAGTCCATGAGGGCAGAAAGAGGAATAGGCCATAACCAGTGTAAGAACACATCTTCCCAAATAGCACCATAAATACTATCTTTTAACGTCACTATGTCGACCTTAAGTTCAAGATACATACTTAACAGTAGAACATACATGCATATATAACATAAAATGTCAATTTTCTCACTCATTTTTAAACGTCTACTTTTTATGATTTCATCATAAACTAACTGACTGAGAGTAGGAGCAAAGGTCTAATTTGGATCAAAACTAAGTGTCTCAAATAACAGTTCTAGAGGGTGCGAAGTCTGAGCTCAAGGCTTTGCAGTGCTCGGTTTCTATGAGGGCTACCTTACTGGTTCCTAGGTAGCATCCTCTTGGTATGTTTTCATGTGGTGGAGAGAAAGGGCCCTCACCTCACCTCTTTTTGTCAGGTTACTGGCCCAACTGAATGAGGACTCGAACCTTACAACGCTGATTAATCTTAATTACCCTCTGAAGGACTCATCCCCAAATCAGTTACAGTGGTGGTTAGGGATTCAGCATATGAAATCTTTGGAGGATATAATTTAGCTCATGGCAACTACTGAGTCTCTATTTGTAAGTAAAACCTGGAAATGGTAGAAAGTATACTAACCTAAATAAATGTTTTCAGAAATATAATAAAATGTAATTGGTTCTGATAATAAAATATATTTCTGAGGACCCATAATACTTAGGAAAACATTTGTACCTATGGTAGAACATTTCTATTTCTTTCATATACAATCAGATAATTTATGATTTGAGATAAAGATATAGCAGCTTGTCTTCTGATATACATGATAAATGAGTGTTGGTATTGTTTTTCAGCTATATTGTAATTTTTTTGTTTTGACTATATGCTATCTTTTTTAAAGATTTATTTATTTATTTGCAAGTCAGAGTTACACAGAGAGAGGAGAGGCAGAGAGAGAGAGAGAGAGAGAGGGAGAGAGAGAGAGAGAGATGTCTTCTATCCGATGGTTCACTTTCCAGATGGCCACAACAGCTGGAGCTGTGCTGATCCGAAGCCAGGAGCCAGGAGCTTCTTCCAGGTCTCTCACATGGGTGCAGGGGCCCAAGCACTTGGGCCATCTTCTATTGCTCTCCCAGGCCACAGCAGAGAGCGGGATTGGAAGTGGAGCAGCCAGGACTCAAACCGGTGCCCATATGGGATGCCGGCGCTTCAGGCCAGGGCATTAACCGACTGCACCACGGCCCCGGCCCCTCCTATATGCTTTCAAAATAAATTCAATCTTGTTACCACAAAAAAAAAAAAAAAAAAAAAAAAAAAAAAAAAAGAAGAAAAAAAAACAAATCTAATGATAGTCATGTAAATTCAACTTGAATATGGTTTCTTCTAAGAACGTTTAGCTGAAATACCCAAACAGAACATACTCTCCTCCCCTCCATGCTGCTGTAGTGTAAGACCCAGCCAGTCAAGCAATTTCTCTGCTTGGGATTTATCCCCGTAAATGAAGACTAACAGCCATACTTAGATTGTTTCAGCGGATTTATTTGTAGTAACAAAAATGTCACAGAAATAACTCATATGTTCCTCAATAGGTAAAAGGTTAAACAAATCACTGTATATCCATATCATGGAATACAACACAGCAATGAAAGGAAACAAACTATTAAACATGTATCAACCTGAATGCATCGCCAGAGAATTAAGCTGCATGAGAAAAGCCATATAAAAGTATTGAAATGACACAATAATAGCAGTGGAGGATAGCGTAGTGCTTCCTGTGAGTTACGGGCAGGTGGGTGTGGGGAGCAATCCGGACTGGACTGAGTTACTGGAATTAAGACTTATTCTATGCATCTGCTCTCCCACAATATGGCGCTGGGAGAGAAGTAAACAGCTTCCGCACAGCTGCCTCCAGTTCAACTAATAAACTGTAGGACTTGCTCCTGATTGGAGAGCAGCGTACTCGGCGTGTGGGCAGCCGAGTTGGGATTGGCGGAGGAGGACTATAAAGGAGGAGAGAGACGGCATGCACCGGGAACATCTATGGGGAACATCTAGCTGAAGGAACACCCGTGCAGCCCCCCAGAGAGCCGGCCGGCGGTGTGCCGCTCCCCTGAGGAAGTGGGGAATGTGGCCAGGGGGAACTGCCCTTCCACAGAGGTGGAAGGGATAGTAGCCAACCCGGGAAGAACCAGCAGCAAACCCGGGGAGGGCCGAGCAGACGAAAGAACAGCGCAGGGTCCTGTGTCGTTCCTCCGCGAAGAGGGGGAGCGACATAATGGTGCCGTGACTCGGATATGAAGCCTAGGCAGGGTTTAGTGTCGTTCCTCCGCGAAGAGGGGGAGCGACAGGTGGGTATGGGAGAGACATGAGTGTGATTATAAAAGGGTAAAATGAAGTACCCCTGCAATGTTCCATATCATGATTACACCAGGTAATGCAAGTACCTTAATTGTGATACTGTACTGTAGTTTTTCAATTGTAACATTAGTGGTAACTGGATAAAGAGTAGATAGGATTGCTCCATTATTCACAAAGTAAATATATGCAAATCTATAATTTTCTCAAAATAAAGTTTTATTGTAGGTATGCCTATGAACCAAAAAAAAAGGTAAATGTCAAAAATGCTTGTTTTAAAAATACACCAATTTGAAGTCAATTTATGTTAGGGCTGATGTAAGCCTTATCTGTTGGAGCTTTACACACCTAGTAATGATCAGTACCATCATCATCACCCCTAAGATTTATGGGGTTCAGGGCAAAAGTTTCATAAAAGAGGGGATCCCATTATACGTCTACATGGTTGTGGGTTACACTTCAAGCTAACAACTATATATAGAACTTTTAGGCCATTTTATTGGGTGGATTGAGAAAAGGAGGATGTACAAATCAGGAAACAGTCTTTGGACAGGGGATTCAGGATTCTGATTAAAGAGGCAGGTCTAGAAGTGGCTGGGAAAGAGTCCACCTGCAATGGCTTCTTGGCCACATGGAATGAGCCTCATATTCCGGGAGGGCAGAGCAAGTGAGTTACAAAATGAGGTACACAGCAGGGGTCCCATTTGCTCTTAGGACTAAGGACATAGGTCTACGTGTGTCAGTAAGAACAATTCTAAGTGTGTCAATTCAGAAACTATTCATGGTTGTGACAACTAGAGCTAATTTATATGCAGTCCCTCTTATCTACTATGTGTGAAGTGAGCTGATGTGCTGCATTAGAGAAAAGAGACAGTTTTGTCAATTTTTAGTTATAGTATATTTTCCCACCATTAATATGATATAGCTAAATATATTATTTCTCTTTTTGGTAGATGGACTAGAAGCTTTTACCAGATTTCTTAAAACTGAATTCAGTGAGGAAAACATTGAGTTTTGGAAAGCCTGTGAAGATTTCAAGAAAATCAAGGAACCTCAACAAATTACTTGTCAAGCAAGAGCCATATTTGAGAAATTTATACAGAATGATGCGCCACAGGAGGTACAGTGAAGATAACTGGAAACATTTATACATGTATAATGAGGGACTATACCTTCAACAAATCCGGGTTCCTATACATTCTACCAGAAAGTTCAGGATTTACTTAAAACAAACATGGTTACTCTACAGATTTCTGCACACAGTGTACACTGCAGGATATTACCACAAAAAGAAAGGTACAAACTAAGAATGAATACAACTAATTACAACATTTTTTTTGACAGGCAGAGTTAGACAGTGAGAGAAAGAGACAGAAAGAAAGGTCTTCCTTCCATTGGTTCACCCCCTAAATGGCCGCTACAGCTGGCGCTGTGCGGATCCGAAGCCAGGAGCCAGGTGCTTCTCCTGGTCTCCCATGCGGGTGCAGGGCCCAAGCACTTGGGCCATCCTCCACTACCCCCCCGGGCCACAGCAGAGAGCTGGACTGGAAGAGGAACAACTGGGACAGAACTGGCGCCCCAACTGGGACTAGAACCAGGAGTACTGGTGCCGCAGGCGGAGGATTAGTCTAGTGAGCCATGGCACCGGCCTAATTACAACATTTAATTCAATTACTTGTCCACATTAATCACCTTACCATTAGCGATCTCTCACGTGGAAACTAAAGATATAAGTGATAAAGACAAGAGAAATCAAGACATTTGTATCATGCTCCATTTTAATATTAGCTCATCCAGCGATACAATGTTTTATTTGTCCACAGGGTTATTCCTCTACTTTTAGGTAAACCAAAGTTGGCAATGGTGCATGTGAAAAATAAAAACTGGTTTTCTATAAATTCAACACGAGGTAATTATGTGATCCAATTGCTAAAAGGGTATGAAACTAGCAAATATTCCTTGATTGCTCTCATATATAAACAAAATAGCGTTTCTGTGTTCCTGCTCTGTGTTCAATAAATAGATCCTCTTCTCTCAGGTGACAGAACTGGTAGTCTGTCAGTGAGAGGAACTCGGTTTGGCTACAGTTAGTACTGTCTACGTAACAGCACTGCCCATCTGGATATAGTTCCACAAGAAATGAAGGTTATATTCCTTGCTTCAATATGTTTTTAATGTTTTATACTTAGATGTGTTACTCTGTCTTCTCCAAGGCCAATTTTATGCATAGGGTAAGAAAGAAAAAGAGGTAGCTAGTCTTATGATGTTACCCACAAGGGACAGGAAAGGGTCCCTCCCTGAAAATCCAACACTGTCAGAACTAGCTCTACAGCAGCACTCTGATGAAAGACATTGCTGGCTGCTACATCATCAGAAAACACACATGCTTGAGTTCATGGTTGCCTGTAGGAAAGTATCATAACATCACAAAATGAGTGTTGGGACAAACCAGAAGCCCCATCTTGAAATCTCAAATATGATCTGAGCTCCCTGTTTCTTATTACTCCAGTTACTTCAGCTCTGGGAGGTTTAGCCCTCCACTTTGAAAATAAGTAGATTAATCTAATGACCTCTGTGAAATCTACCACTGCTATATTCCACATTTCTAAATTAGTAGAGAGTGAAAATGCAGGAGCCTGCGGAGGGAAGCATAGAAGAGATGCAGCACAGAAAAAACTAAATCACTGGCTCTCTGGACCCAAAAGAAGAAAAGCTCCCCATCAACCAAACGCAACTGTGCCCACTTCAAAATTTTGTCAGTCTTGTACTGTTTATTTGACAGATTGATATTAACTAAAGTTTTCTCCTGTCCATCCAGGTTAACCTTGATTTTCATACCAAAGAAGTCATTACTAAGAGCATCACCCACCCCACCCTCCACAGTTTTGATGCTGCACAGAGCAGAGTATATCAGCTCATGGAACAAGACAGCTACACACGCTTTCTGAAATCTGACATCTATTTAGATTTGCTGGAAGGAAGACCTCGGAGACCAACAAATCTTAGGAGACGATCACGCTCATTTACATGCAGTGAATTCCAAGACGTAAAATCAGACGTTGCCATTTGGTTATAAAGAAAATTGATTTCGCTCACTTTGATGACAAATTTATACATCTGATTCAAAGATGTAACATGTTTATGTTAAGAAACGGTTACATCGCCTAAGATAAAATACTTATGTGAAAGGATTTAAAAAACGTAAATCAAACCTTTGATACTTTTGATACTAACAAAACAGTCTGTCAATATTTTCTATATAACCTTTCATTTGATGTCATTCCTTTCATTATCATAAAAATATTTCTTATCTAAAAGGCAGTAAAGAAGAAATAACATTTTGTAAAGTTGTAAAGTTAAGAAAAGACTAAGCTTTCACGAAATTTCAAAATTTTATTATATCTTTACTTTGGATTTTTTTTCTCTCAGTGTAAACAACACAATATTCAAATGTCCACATGTTCAGGCTGCGTTTTCCAAAAAGGAAAGCACTCACTTTCTTTCTCAGTAGCAGAGACGATAGGTGTGATCCAGTTTTTATAATGGAAGAGGGTGAACGTTTGCGCTTCGGTTACTAAACCTGAATCAAGAATATCAGTTTATCACTTCTAATTAGAAGTCAGTCATGGGAACTTTAGTGCAGACACGTTCGTCTCTACATAACTTTCAGGTTTGTGGCCACCATTGTGGGTTAGGGCACGGCCTGTGATGCCTCCCGTAAGAGCACTGGTCCCAGTCCCAGCTACCCAGATCCAGCTCCCTGCTACTGTACCTGCGAAAAAGCAGAAACGGTCCAAGTGCTTGGGCTGCTGGCACCCAACAAGGAGACGTGGAAGGAATATCAGGCTCCCGGCTACAGCCTGGCCCAGCCCGGAACACTGTGGCCACTTGAGGGACTAAACCACCAGATGGAAGATCTCTCACTCTCTCCCTACCCCCTCCCTAATTCTGCCTTTCAAGTAAATAAATAAATAATAAATAAATAAATAAATAAATCTTTGTATTAAACAAAAAGAAAACATTTTCAGGTTAAACATGAAGTAGGTTGGTGAGTGAGGATGGCATTCATTCACACTTAGTCCCACTGCCAAGTGTAGACTTACCCAGTTCCGTGGAGCACTTCTGGCCCAGAACGTGAAGCACATCACGTATACCTCCAGGGTGGGATTTCTTCCCTGCTCAGAGAATCTCTGCTGGAACAGTAGGCATCCAGTGTCTGAGTGATGACCAGATGAGCCTTTTCTCCGGAGTAATTAGGTCTTGTGGAATCGGGGTAGAAACAGACATGAGAAGAGGTGAGGAAGGAAAATTTTACAGGCTCAGAAAGTATTTACATACTCAGAAAGTGTTTTTCATTGATTATGCTTATTACATGTCTCATTTAATACTCTATTACTCAAAAATGTTCATACTAATAAGTATATATAAATATGTGGAAAATGTTTAATTTTAAATTATATTACATGAACTGCAAACATCTGTAAAGATGTCATATCTTTGACTCAGAAATGTTTTAGTGAAATATAAATGTAAAAATTTTAGATAGTTTATAGTAATAAATGCTTTTAATTTATCCATTCATACAGTTTATTTGATCCTCTATTTGTTGACTGTCCTTCCTATTGTCAAATAAGAAATAAACATACTTTCTTATGTTCAAATAATATTGGGATGCCAAGTATTAATTCAGATATGGTATCACTGACAACTACTTATACTCTTTATAAATATGAAAACAAGTATCGTACATTTCAAAAATCAACCAAGAAAGTGGTTTTTAGTTTTCCTTGACTGATTTGTATTTTCTTTATCTGTGGAAGCCTCTATATGTATATAGAATCTTATTGCTTCATATAAAGAGTTAAGACTTGATTCAAGCTTTCTGATTTCATCAGAAATATCATGAGCTGCTTTTTTCTCTGATACTTTTTCATGTTAATGTAATATTAGTACAAGAAGAACAGATTCAATGTAATTCATACATGCAATTCTAAGTATATAATGATATTCCTTTCCACTCTCTCACCTCCCACTATCCTTCCCTCTCCTTCTCTCCCTCTCTCCCTCCTTCTCTCTCTCTTTCTCTCTCTTCTTCCTTTCTCTCCCTCTTCCTTCCCTCCTTCCTTCCTTTCCTCCTTCCTTCTTCTTCTTTCCCTCCTTCCTTCTTTTTTCATTTTTGAGATAAAATATTTTTATTTAATATTAAAGTCAAGGTTAATGTTTCACTAAATAAAGAGATCAACAAATAAAATGTAAATAGACCCTAGCTCAGCAGTAATATAGGCAAAGGCTACAAAGAACAATCAAATGGAAAAATTACATTGTTTTAGAACCCATAATATGTGTGATATAGCCTCTACACTGTTAAAACTTTTCAAAAGTATTCAATCTCTTGGTTAAATTATGAAATATTCAGCGAGACACCACGAAGACACTACAGGGCTTTGTGACAAAGTTGATGCCTGACTTCAAGGGTTTGCGCTCTTTGGAAGAGACAATGTGGGCAACTGAAGAAAACAAAACTAATAATTTGACAAGGGACAGATGCCAAACAAAAATGTGCAGATGGCACTGAGTTCTGGCTGCATGAAGGAAAAAAATACATCAACAGTCTCAATGCCTGGGTTCCCTATTGGATGTCAGAGCTTCAGAAATGTTAAGGATACTTTTAAGGACATTCATTCTCAACATTCTTTTAAAAATTAAAACTCAGGGTTTCAAACTTCTAATTCTTTTCAAGGTTCCCCATACCCACTGATTAAACAGTAGACCAACTTTATATTCTCCAAAACATCTTTGGTGCTCTGGCAAGGGAAAAAGTTAAGTAAGTATGGTTAACAAAGGAAAACTTCAGACTAAAAAGTAGTAAGGGATAATATGTTGCTCTGAGAATAATAAGCACTTTTAGAGAAAATTTAGAAATGCATAAAAGGAAAGAAGCCACAGGAATTTTTTTTGACCAGTCCAAAGTACAGTAATGTATTGGAATATATTTAATATACTAGAAGAGAAATAGAATTGCATGAATTAAACAATTTGGGACATCTTGAAGTCCATAATGACCTAGGCTGAACCTCGGCTGTCAAGTTTTTACATAATAGAAACTCAGTAAGTGATGTGGAGTCAAATGGAATAAAAACGAAGCAGTATGAAGCCACTGCACTGTATCAGTAAAAAGATTTTAAATGCAATACATTTATATTTGAAACCTGCCTCTGCTACTTATCATTTAAGGAAGTTACTTAAATAATCTGTACTTCAATTTTTCATACACAATATTGAAAAGCTTTTACAATCTTCTTATGATGATTAAATTTTTAAATATTTGTAAAGTGCCAAGTATACATTAATTGACTTTACCATATGAATGAGATTATGGAAATTATTTCTCTATTTAAATATCACATTTTAATTATAACATAAACTTTCTCTAATAATTACTTGGTGAGAAATTAAACAAATGCCCTTGAGAACAATGAAGTTTTCTTGAATAAAATATGGGGACAACTATTGCTCTCATCAAATCTTTTGTATTTTTACACTGCATAGAAAAGTAAATAATGATATTTTAACTAAATGAAAAATATAGGAACATTATAAGCTGAAAAATTCTTCTGAAGACAAAGTTAAAAACAACAACATTGGGGCTGGTGCTGTGGCACAGCAGGTTAACACCCTGGCCTGACGCGCTGGCATCCCATATAGGAGCCGATTCGAGACCCGGCTGCTCCACTTCCAATCCAGGTCCTAGCTCCTGGCTCCTGGCTCCTGATCGGCACAGCTTTGGCCATTGCAGCCAATTGGGGAGTGAACCATCAGATGGAAGACCAATCTCTTTCTCTCTCTGCCTCTCCTCTTTCTGTGTAACTCTGACCTTCAAGTGAATAAATAAATCTTTAATTAAAAAAAGAGATAGATCTTTTAAAAAATGACAATTTTTTTAGCTATATTCAGTGTTGCCCTTCTTTAGGGAAAAAAAAGACAAAGCATTTTCAAGATAGTTAGCTCCCTACCCCCAAATTCTCAAACTTAGCCAGGCACTGACTTTATCTAAACACATTAAATTTATTCTTATTGTGTTATATTAACTGGTCTTATATTTAATTTCTTTCCTACTTAATTATCATCTATCTAAGAAGAAAAAGAAAATATTTAAAAATTTAACCATAAGCTTGTTTAGCTACATTACCTTCGTTCTATTTAAAAGTGAAAATAAGCGGCCAGTGCTGTGGCACAGGAAGGGTTCGCCTGTAGTGCCGGCATCCCATATGGGCACCAGTTCATGCCCAGCTGCTCCTCTTCCGATCCAGCTCTCTGCTGTGGCCTGGTAGAGCAGTGGAAGATGGACCAAGTGCTTGGGCCCTTGCACCCACAAGGGAGACCTGGAAGAAGCTCCTGGCTCCTGGCTTCAGATTGGCTCAGTTGTGGCCATTTGCGGCCATCTGGGGAGTGAACCAGAGAATGGAAGACCTCTCTCTGTGTCTCTACCTCTCTCTGTCTGTAGCTCTACCTTTTTTTTTAATATTTATTTATTTATTTATTTGAAAAGCAGATTTATAGAGAAGCAGAAGCAGAGAGGGAGAGAGAGAGAGAGAGAGAGAGGTCTTCTATGCTCTGGTTCACTCCCCAAATGGCCACAAATGCCAGAGCTGCACCAATTCAAAGCCAGGAGCCAGGAGCTTCTTCTGGGTCTCCCACGTGGGTGCAGGGGCCCAAGGACTTGGGTCATCTTCCACTGCTATCTCAGTACAGAGCAGAGATCTGGATCGGAAGAGGAGCAGCCAAGATTAGAACCGGCGCCCACTCATTTAAGAATACAAATGAACAGAAACCCGATAGTAAAATATTGCATTTGAAAAACAAAACTATCAGTATGAAATGTGATTTTAATAGATATAATGATTTTATAATAAATATACATATTTGCTGGAAATTTGCCTACTAATTGAATTTTCTAGAGTTAAATAATATTTTAGAAATAATTCAAAAAATATTTTAAATAGCGAAGATTTACTAAAAACAACAGTATTAACATTCAGATAGTTTTCTTCAGTCTCTTCCTTACCTGTAAGTAGTAAATAAATAATAATTATAGAGAAAATAAAAAGTGAAAAACTGTTAAATTTCTACCTGCCAAAAATTTCAAAATTCTGTTTATTTGATTATATTTACTGGCAAGAGAAAATGGATGAAATACATTTGGAGATTTCATAGATTTGTGAAATACAATAATTACAGGGCCACTGTGGCACATGGTATTAAGCTGTTGCTTACTGGCGTTCCATGTGAGTACCAGTTCAATTCCTGGCTGCTCCACTTTCGATCTAGCTCCCTGCTAATGTGCCTGGGAGAGCAGCAGAAGACAGCGTGAGAGCTTAGGATCATACCACCCCCTAGGAACCCCAGAAGAAGCTACTGACTCCTGGCTTCACCATGGCACAGCCCTGGATATTGTGGCCATTTGGGGAGTAAACTAGTATATGGAAAATCTCTCTCCATCTCTCATTGCCTATCTCTCCCTCTCTGTAATTCTTCCTTTAAAATAAATAAGAGACTCTTAAAAAATCCAAATGATCTAAAATAAGAATGATAGTTAAAAATACAATTATTGGGACCAGCGCTGTGGCGTAGCAGGTAAAGCTGCCACCTGCAGTGCCGGCATCCCATATTGGTGTAGGTTCGAGTCCTGGCTGCTCCACTTCCTATCCAACTCTCTGCTATGGCCTGGGAAAGCAGTAGAAGATGGCCCAAATCCTTGGACCCTCATGGGAGACCCAGAAGAAGCTCCTAGCTCTTGGCTTCGGATCGGCTCAGCTCTAGCCGTTGTGGTCATCTGGGGAGTGAACCAGTGGATGGAAGACTTTCTCTATCTCTTTCTGCCTCCCCTTTTTCTCTGTGTAACTCTGACTTTCAAATAAATAAATATTTTAAAAATAAATAAATAAAATATAATTATTTATATTAACACTGAACAGTTGTTGCATGTAAGAAAGTAGAATATTCAAACATGAGCCCAAATGAAATAAGATCAGTATCAATTATACCAGGAATCTATTTAATAACTCAAAGAATATGGGTTCTAATAATGTAATGTATTATACCTAATATATTCTTACTTAATAACACATGGTACTCGTAGTTTAATAAACACATTTGTCCTCTTTCTAGAAATGTAAATGCGAATAAAATGGTGCAGAATCTATCACTGAGGATATTACACTCAATGTTACTCTTAGGTAAGCAAATACAAAAAAAAAAATTGAAGACAACATGCAAAAACTCACATATATTTTGCCTTACTTATGTTTTAATAGGCAAGATAGTTTCAAACAATGCTGCAACACAGCAGCCGTACCTTTATATCGTCACAATATGTTGAGTATATTCTGTAGTATGACGCTTTCAAAAGGCAATCTCTAGAAAGCTGAACTGATCTGACAAAAAGAGTAAATAGGCATCACTCATAAAACCTCCCAGAAACATATTTCACGTTTATTCACAAGAAAGGAATACAGAGAGACTGTAGAAGCAAAGTTTTGATAGAAAGATGAAAGTCAGAATGTGAGGAGACAAAAAAAATGAGTATAAACTGAAAGAAAAACCATGAGAAATGAAAATAAATTCACTGCAAATTGTGTTTCAACCCATAAAAATCATATTTATA